ACTCCTTAACGAAAATAACAGCTGAGACAGTACTGTGTGTGTGTGTGTGTGTGTGTGTGTGTGTGTGTGTGTGTGTGTGTGTGTGTGTGTGTGTGTGCGCGCGTGTGTGTGTGTGTGGCCCGGAGGACAGAGGACAGGAGAACGTGCAGCTAATTAATTAAATAATTTGGTTCTGTACCTTTCTCTTCAGCACAGCTGACAAAGGTTTATGATGGGTCAGTCCTCCTGCATGCTCAGATCATTTCCTTCCCTTGCTTGAAAAATTGTTCCAAAATGAAAGTTGAACCCACATCTTTTTTATCTGTGAGTTCAATGCCGTTCGGCGAGTCTCAAATAAAAATTTGGGCATCTTACTGTAAAAAAAATATACCATTAATGTAAAAAAAAAGAAACTCTAAAACAACCAGAATCGAGCCCGGGTCTTCTGCACGAAAGCCCAAAATCTTATAAGGCAAGCTAAATCGCCAGTGGCGGCTTCTGTATCTGTAACATTTATATCCTTGATCACAGCTGAAACAACGTTCAAAGAACTGTTCGGAGGGCGATGCCTGAGCGTGAACGCGCATGAAGCAGCCTGCTCGACCCGAGCATCTCTCTTTTTCTGTGATTTTACAGAAAAACAGGCAATCACAGTAAAAATGCCAGGACTCATTCTACAGGACCAGGGCATTGCAGGAGAATGTATGAAGAAGACATTTATTATTTCTATACATGTTTTGGCTGTCACACTTCCATAACGTCCCTTTAATGAATGACTTAAAACTCCATAAAACTGACTTTTCCCTATTTTATTGTTTTATTTTTAGCTCACTTCTGAATTCTTAGAAAATTCCAGATTTACTTAGATATTTTAAATTCCTGAAACCTAATCTGGATTATCAAAATACAGTAACCATTTCAATGTTAATTTGGCTCACTCCCATAAGTTTGTGTTAACTAATTTACCCATTTGAGCCAAAACACTAAGAGTTCGGAGTATTTTAAATACCCAGCGCTCACATTTTAAAGGGACCGCATTACCAGTTTAAAACCAGTGGGTTGCAGAGATGAGCTGTGTGTTTTGTTGAAGTTTGTCCTCCTCTTTGGTTCTTTTTCTCCACCTAATGAAACATTTCAGCACTGGCTGAACTGTGATCCTGATAAAATCAGACATTTTAGTCTTTTTTTTTGTTGAGAATCTTTTTTCTAAAATCTCAGTTTGCCTAAAACTCCGAAAAATATCCCAAAAACCTTAAATAGATCCATATTTTTCTCAAAGTGGAGTTTACATGAAATATAGATAAATATAGAATACAGAACATGTTCTTAAAGAGCAAGTCGCCCCCAAATAAACTTATTTTTCTGATAAACTATATAAATGTGTGTCTAATCGTGCTGCAGACATGTGTAGTCAACAGTTTTGCACTTTAGTGCATTTTAGTTCAAATTTACATTTTCTGCCTAAAACTATCAGTGTTGTGCCGTTGTCAGGTAAAAACTCTGCACTGCATTTGAATTTAAATCTGCCATCGCTATTGGCTAAGAGGTACCCTAGAACGTTAGCTGGTACCATATGATGTCACAGTGCCGTAAGCCTGTGTGTGTGTGTGTGTGTGTGTGTGTGTGTGTGTGTGTGTGTGTGTGTGTGTGTGTGTGTGTGTGTGTGTGTGTGTGTGTGTGTGTGTGTTAGTGGCTCCGCCCTCTTGGTCTGCTAGGCAACAGCATGTGTTGCATTATTCAAACAGGAAGTGGGAGTGGAGTAATACTCTGATAGGGGGTGACTTGCTCTTTAAATTAAAATCACTACGTCTACCAGGCCTCTAATGAAACTTTCTGAATGCTTTGTGTCATCTTGCTGAAAAATTCAAGTCTTAAAACATCTCTACAATTTGTCCAAGACTCTCTTCCGTGATGCAAAGAAATCTAATTGTATCTAACTTCTGTCTGGAATACAAATCTGCTTCCTAATGACTCCGAACCGAGGCCGAGACCTCGGTTCCTTTCAGTTCTTCTCTCCTCACCATGGGAACCACGAGGCCTCCGGGGTCGAATTCCCAGAAAACGTGAGAAAAAAAAATGTTACTGTATTTGTGTGTGTGTGTGTGTGTGTGTGCGTGCGTGCGTGTGTGTGCGTGTGTGTGTGTGTGTGTGAGACACCATCCAGTCATAAAAATGCCAGCCAGCTCAATAAGGGGCATGTTTGCTTGGAGCTTTCGGGAATTCGTGTTGAGCTTTTCCTCCCGCTGAGACCCGGAGAGGAAGTTAGAGAATGACCGGAGTCAAATAAAACCTGGCCAGAGGAACAGAAACACAGCTATTACACAACAACAGGAAATTATATGTGGAGCGGTCTGTGAAGATGAGTTAGCTTAAATAAATGAGTCGTTTTCAATAGTTTTCTTCATTAATAACAAATGTTTTTTTTAAAAAGGTGATTTGAAGCAGTTTTTTATAGTGTTTGCAATAAAATGTTTATGACCACTCTGATTCACCCTGTAGGGATGCACCTTTCACCTGCTGCGTTGGTGTTTATATTTTTTTTTTCTCTTCAGGAACAATCTTCCCACTAACGTAGTCCAGAGTCGGGTTCTCGTCTTGCTTTTGCTTCTTTGAAGGGATTTTTGTCTGAGTAAACCTGCATGGTGGTGCGGTTCCTAGGCCAGAATCCCAGGTGCGGCTTTTCTGCATGAAGTTAGCGTTTTCTCTCTGTGCATGCGTGTTGTTTCCTCACAGACCATAGACATGAGTGGTTGGATAAAAACAATCACAACTACAGGAGAACCAGATCTGGACTCAGGCTCTAGATCAGGTGTCGGCAGCTTTTTCCCCATCAAAGAGCCATTATTGACCGTTTCCCACAGTAAAGAAAACACTGGGAGCCGCAGCCGCCGCGGCGTTGTGGGCGGGGCCTACCCTCAGACAGCAGAGAGCTGCTTTAACCGGTCACAACAGCATACCAGTCGCTCATGTACCTCAGTTATCTTTCAACAGAAGATAATTAATGAAACAGTTTGTATAAAATTGATCCAAAAGTTATATTTCGATATTTTTCACCCTGCTAGTGGTTTTAATGGTCGAGCAGGTGACGCTTTTTGAGGCGTCACACAGAACTGATCAGAATACAAATCCAGGCTCTGTCTCGTTGGACTGTTGTAATTAAATTTTGCATTAAACATTGTTGAAAAGGTAAGAAAAGGTTCCGATCAGTTAGTTTTCTTTCCTCGTTTACACTGACGAAGATAACGGCGCAGTGTGCGTGGCTCTGGTGTTCATCAGGTTTAATGTTTCTGTTTGCAACAATCTTCACAAGAAGGTAAAACAGTTAAGTGGTTTGTGGATGGCTGCTTGTACTGAGCCAGGATCCTCTGGAGGTTTCTTCCTGTTAAAAGGGAGTTTTCCTCTCCACTGTCGCTGCATGCTTGCTTAGTATGAGGATTGCTGTAAAGTCACTGACACTAGTCAGTGACTTGATGCAACCTGCTGGGTTCCTTATATAGGAAACATTATTTCTGATTGGCTTAATGAACTGACCTGTATTGGAATGTTTATTATGTGAAGGTCCTTGAGACGACGCTTGTCGTGATTTGGCGCTATATAAGTAGACTTGAATTGAATAGTAGAAGTATTAGTAATAGTAGTATTAGTACTAGTAGTGGTAGTACTAGTAGTGGTGGTAGTGGTAGTAGTAGTAGTAGTAATAGTAGTATTAGTAGTAGAAGTAGAAGTATTAATGATAAATATGCTGTTACAGCTTAGATGTGACTTTACGTATTCAGATCTGAACATCAGTGTTCTGTGGGTCGGATTCTGAATAAATGTGCACATTGGATCAAGTTTGTTTTCTTTAATTTTTGTACTTGAACGTAACTTTATTCCTTAAATAGACAAGGCTTCGACAGACGTCACCGTCCAGAGTGTTCTCTGGTTTAAACGTGTCTGTATGATGGGATGTGTGTTAGAGGTTTTACACATGCAGATAAAGTCCTGTAAATATTTTAAACCCATTCAGGTGTTTGGTTCTGTTGGGATGCTGCCAGCTGCTTCTTCTCTAAACCAGTGTGTGTGTGTGTGTGTGTGTGTGTGTGTGTGTGTGTGTGTGTGTGTGTGTGTGTGTGTGTGTGTGCACGCGTGGGTGTAGGTGTGTGCACGTGTGTGTGTGTGTGTGTGTGTGTGTGTGTGTGTGTGTGTGTGTGTGTGTGTGTGTGTTCGTGTGTGTGTGTGTGTGTGCACGCGTGGGTGTAGGTGTGTGCACGTGTGTGTGTGTGTGTGTGTGTGTGTGTGTGTGTGTGTGGGTGTGTGTGTGTGCGCGTGTGGGTGTGTGTGTGCGTGCGTGCGTTGGTGTGTGTGTGTGCGTGTGCACGCGTGGGTGTAGGTGTGTGTGTGTGTGTGTGTGAGCGCGTGGGTGTGTGTGTGTGAGTGCGTGAGTGTGGGTGTGTGTGTGTGTGCTGCTCGGATCCCTGCTTTACAACCTCGATGGTCTCAGAGAAATGAGATGAGTTTGTTTAAAGGAACTAGTTTTCAGGAACTGACCTCCAGCTGTTCTCAGAGTGGGGTCAGCTTTGGGGTGTGTGTGTGTTCGTGTGTGTTTTCAGCGTGTTGAAAGTGAAGAAACTTCTGGACAAAACACAGATGCTATAATTTCCTTTCTATAAATTGTGAAACTTAAAAAGCATTTTCCACCCTTGAATAGATGTTTCTATGTAGAGTTTAGGAGTTTTTACTGGAACCAGGTAACAAACATCGCCTGAACTTTAGGAGTTTTGAACAGGTTTTAGATGGCAGCAACACGCCAGACTCTGACTAGCCGTTAGCTCATCAGTCCAGAAAAGGCTATGTTTCCAAACTAAGGCTGTTCAGGAAGGTGTTTGAAATGGTTAAACATGAGATTGATGATAACCTTCACACAGAAGCATTCGTCTAAATATACCTTTAACCTTCAGAAACATGCGTTTGTGTTAAATGTGCTTTGTTTCCTCTTGATGTCTCACGTAACTGATTCTCCTTTCTGTTCTGGTCTCCAGCGTCTGATACCGAGCAGGATGCAGCGGTGAAACTGGACCAGGAGCGGGCTGAAATCGTCGCCAAATATGACAAGGTACGAACAGAAAAGCAAAGGAAGAGACCGAAGGCTGAACAATAGTTTCCACTTCTGGTTTTCCACAGCTGCATTCCAGTGGGTCACTCCCAGCCCGCATCCCACTGCAGTCCTTCCCTCCGTAAAACACCGACTTACTGCTACTAACAGGCAGTCATAGCAGCGTGCAGCTAAACAGAATCAAGAAGTTCACATGCAGCCAAACCTCAGAGCCTGCCAATGAAGTGAATGTGTTAATTATGCATGTAAAAGCTCCGTGATGAGCTGAAGCTCCGCCGTGCTTCAAGAACAGGAAATATTACAAAGCAGAGAGGGAGGAGCGGAGAGCCGTTGGATGTTTATTACAGTAAACCACAAGATTAAGAAGATTTGGTTTAGTTACTGAAGTTAGAATATGGAACATTTTCATAAAAAGCTACGTTTAAAAATAAATAAGTCCACTGGGCGTTCATAGGTGTGCAGATTCATGGATGCACAGTTTCTCCTTTAAAAGCAGTAACACTTCAGTTTAGGGAACACAAATTAACCATTAATTAGCTGCCAATTAATATGCATATTAGGCGGACTACTAAGTATGAACTAGTCATTATTAAGTACTTATTAACATCTTACTACTAATGGCGTAATTCTAACATTAACAGTCCATAAATGAGGAGTTTTATCATAAAAGCCATTCATAATGGTTTGTTAACCGAAAGTAAATAGTTTGTTGCTGATTAACACACATACTAAGTAGCTCGAATCAATATGTGGCTTTTAAAGAAGTAATTCAAGGGAAAATTTTCTTGCCTTTAAGTGGTTAATTAATACTAAACTACTAGTAATTAGGTAAGAACAACATCTGACTTTAGAATGGGGAACATGTTCTTGCTTACAAGTGGTTAATTGATTGTGGCTCTATTAACACGCGGAGTTCGTTGTTTATGTACATCATACCAGAACATAATATTTTTGGTTATTAATGCAGAAAAATTATTCCCCTTGAATTACTTCTTTGAAAGCCACACATTTATTAGAGCTAATTATCATGTGCGTTAATCAGCAACAAACCATTATGAATGGCTTATTTTGATCAAACTCTTAATTCATGGCCTGTTAATGTTTGTAGACGGGTAATTATTGTATGTATTTGGGTGCTTTTAAAGCTTAATATACTACTCTACACTTTGACCAATGTGATGTGAATTTCCATATAAATATGGACATCCAGTCTGATTGGTCTTGAAGGTTTACCAGAAGATTTAGGATTCTTTGTTTATTCAGGGATTGTACGACACTTCATCTTAATTAAAGAAGAGTCGGGTTTATAAAAAGTAAGAATTTATTTTCCAAACTATTAAAAACATGACTAATTAACTAAGATTACTGTGGATGGATGGATCTAGGAAGATGGGATGTGATGTATGGTGACTATGTGTGAATGTGAGGTTATCGGAACATTCGTATCTAGAAGAACTGAAGTCTGGGTGTAAAAAGGAAAGAATTTGGTTCGCATTAACTTGGAAGTTGATTCTTATCAAACCCACATCAGACGCGATCCATGCTGTGTCTACCTCACCCTTTCGGATGACCCTCTTCACAGATCCAGAGGTCAGGAAGGTCAGATGACCTCGGGGCACCAAGGTTTGTAGAATAACCGCAGCACCGACTCTCCAGTCCAGAGATGTTTTCCGGGTCACAACAGATGGATGGAATCGTTTGCGTCTAGAAGGGCTTCAGCAGGGTTTTGACAGCTTGTCAAAAATGCTCTGGGTTCAAGAGGTTCCGCTCCGGATGGCCGTTCCATAGCTTTCTCTAGAACTGAGTCACCGAGAAGTGAGCTCTGTTTTAATATTCTCATATTATGAATTCTTGTCCAATCGGAACATGCCATGTTAAGGGATATTACTAAGAACCTCAGAACATCACGCCTTCTTTCAGATACGTGTCATGAGTTTAACTTAACTTTAATTTATCTCTAATGAACCTTGTGTCTGGGTGTAGATGATGATTGCCTTGTCATATCAAACATTACTGATTATCATATATATAAATCATTCAACGTAATAATACATTCATTTCAAACTTTCAGTAATTCAAGCGCAGATCAATCAACCTTATTGATTTAAGCACAGATTAATGAAGACATTATTATTCCTTTTCACGAATGATTAACTCATATGAGCTGAAAATAGTCACTTTATTCAGAGGCATGAGGAATCCTGTTGAAGTGATAAGGGAAGCTTAGGCCTTGAAACTGGAACAGTTTGTTGACAATATGTTATCATGTGTTCCGAGCTGCAGAGAGGCCCGGACTCCAGCTGATGGAATGGCAGGATCCGGCAGATTAAAGGCAACAAATGTAGATTCCTGTCTCCATATGACCAGATACTAAAGGGGTCAAACTGTACATGAAAAACTGACCATTTGTGGGCGTTACATATCCCCCCTTTTCAAGGACAAGGGGTCTTGCTACAAACCACGAGTCGTTGAATAATTCTAGAGGCCGTAGGGACTCAGTCGAGGAAGGAAAGGTTAGTTCCCAGGCAGAGGCATCAGGAGTGAGGAAAGGCAAACCCCCACACAGTCAATGGTACTCCCAAACTTGAAGAAATAATTCCAAACAAGCAATAATGATTCCACTTAGCATAATCCTTAGGAAGGAAACAGACGAGCAGGGACCGGACCAGATCACAGGCAAACCGAAGAGCTCCAGCAACCACGGCAGGAACCAACGGACGTACAGATCCAAACGAACCAGAACCACAGGCAGCAGAATCAGGCAATAGAGCAGAGAGGCCCTCCCAGGAGCGAGGACCACTGGCAAAACTCAGGAGAGGAGAAGAGCACACATGCAGGGCACTTGAATGTAGACACACATAGATCGCATCTGATGTAGAATAACAAATAAAAATAAACTTAGTACAATATGTACCTATATGTGCTATGTGAAAGCAAAGTATGTCAACAGAGTTCAGGTGAAAGAAATTAATGCAGGAAACTACGTGCACTGGAAAAATGTTGCAAAAAGAACAAAATTACCAAAACCCTATAATACATGTAAGGGAAAATCAACGCTTCCGAGCAAAAATGTTATCGAAACAGAAGGGCTAAATAATCTGTAGCCCATAACTGGTAAAACAAAACAAAGGAGATCATAATAAATATGACATAAAGGAATCAGCTGTAAAGAAATAAGGCAGAAATGTATATCTATGAATGTATCTTTAAAATAAGTAATAATATAAAGAAGAAACACTAAATCACTAAAATGTAAATCAGTGATGCTAGTAATCAACCTACATGTGAATATACCTCATTAGGAATCAGAGATTAGTAAATAAAAATAAAAATGGAGTTTGGTAATAAGCACCTAATAATAGCTTAATAATGACTAGTTCAGACTTAGTAGTCCACTATAATGCATATTAATTGGCAGCTAATTAATGGTTCATTTGTGTTCCCTAAACTAAACTATTACCTCAAAAGCTGTATTTAAAAAGACAAATAATCACATTTTATTCTGTCGGGCACGACACTGGGTTTACGTTTACATCTACCAGCCACTAGAGGCCACCGTTGCGCTAAAAAGTCTGCTCAGCAAGGCGAGGCTGGGACTGTGTAAAATGGCGGACATGACAAGTCAAGCAGCAGATTCTGAGCCCAGAAGATGTTCCAACAGTAAATACTGTTGTATGTAAACATATTAGTAGAAATGAGTCCTTATCCTGTACGGTTTGGTGCTGGAACGCATCAGCAGTGAACCAACATCCCAACAGCTGGAAAATTAGTCCTGTTGTTGTGATACCACCTCTGAACACCAGAGTTTGCCAGATTGTCCGTGTTCCATATTTAACCTTTAAAACTAACGATGTCTCAAAACCTCCTTATTATATGGTTTTAGTCCAGAAGAGTGAAAACAACGATAATATTCATTTTAGGTGTTTAACCACAAAACTCTGATTCCTTCGTGCAAAAGCCCCAGACCATCACACCACCACCACCACTGTGTTGTTGATGGAACACACCTTCCAGAAAGTTCCGTAGAATTTTTACCCAGAAGACCTTGGGATCGTCAGGATGTTTTGGGTAAATCTGAGATGGGTCTTTGTTGAATCTGACTTCTGACCTTAACCAGAACCAGGTGAGGCCTGCAGAATGTTAGATGATGTTATTTTGTTCTTTTGGTGGAACAGAAATGTGTTGTTTTTTGAGATCTTTTAGCCCACCTCGTGTGGTCAGAGGTGCTATCGGGTATTTTATTTTCCAGTTGGGATAAAAAACACTTTATTCTTTTGGTTTTACAAACAAAAACTTATCAAGTCTGCGATTCTACCTAAAATAGAAATGTTTATTGGTTTTGAGCTTTTCTGTAGATAAAAATCCATCTGTTCACCTGTCGGATGTTTTTCTCAAGCTTGTACTTTCAATTTAAAGGATGAAACGAATGTGGAAACGTCAGTTTTCATCTCCCACATTTAGATTAGAGTGAATAATTCTGCCCTGGCAGCCCAGCGGTAGCAGAAAGACCCAGTTCAGTACATGAGTGGTTTGTTTCATCCAACAGGCTGCTCACAGAAGCGGCTTCTTCAGGAGAGTTGAAATGATGGACGCGTTTGGGAACGAAAAACGAGTCACAATCAGAGTTTAGGAGTCTTTTATTTCACACCAGTCCTCACAGGCTGAAGTGAAAACTCCCCCCTCAGAAGAAATGTGGAATGCTGCCGTTGCTATGGAAACTCTTTCTCCCTATCCCAGCCTGGGCAGGACTGTGACCGGTGAAGGCCGTAGAACCGTATCTAGGAGTCAATATGCCCTCTAACCCATTATCTCCCTCCCCTGTCCAAACAGAGGTGATGAGCGCTGCTCCATGCGGCTGCACGCACTGAAGTGAGGAGAGTCCCAACCCTACCTCCCCACCTAGAGGACACTTATGTTGTGTAATGTCTGAAGTCTGTGTGCATTTCTGTCTGAGGTGTTTTTTTGCATAGCAAAGCTACCCTCGCTATTAAGGTAGCGCG